TGTTAAGAGTAAACCAACATTCCAAAAATTTGAAAGGTTGACTAGCTGAGATAGGCTGAATTGTAGAGTTGATGAAGGAAATAGAAGAGGAAGATTTGGAGTTGGTAGTCAATACTAATTTTGTTGGCATTTTTTTTTTGTAATACACTTAAAACATCATTATATAGTTTATCACATTTAGAGTTACCAGATTTTGGTGGAGGAAGAGAATGCTGTATAGAACGTTCCATCATAATATTAAATGCATCCGATTGATTGCAAGAACTAACTGATTGAGTTAATCCATCTTTAATAGTAAATTGTATATGTAATATATTTCTTTCATCTTTTCGGCATAATATTAAACTACTTTTAACACCTGATGCAACAGTATAATACTGATTACTTCCTACACAACGAATTTCAACTTTAACTATCTCATGGCTTTGATATTCACAATCAGCTTGTTGTAAAAGTTCTTGAAATGTAAGATGATCATCTATTTCAAACAAAGTGTTTGATAATATTGTGGATGGGGTTTGAGACTCACGCTTAACTGTTATGAATAGATATAGCATTACAAGTAAATTTTGAAACTTCAATATACAAATATATGTACTGTACATACATATATATATATACAAAAGATTATGATAGTTTATTTTTGTGGCTAATTTAATGCCTTAAATAACTTTAGATTAGTACCATTGTTATAATAAATGTTGATCATGTAAAAAAAAAAACTAACGCTAAAAACCAATTCATAATGATAACTGAATTCTAGCCTTTCAAGTAAATTATCATTTTTATCTCAAATTAGAGCTAACCTTTTTTATTTTTTTTATTATTTACACTAGTTTATATATTGATATAGTGAAACAAGATAAATCTTGCAATTGTTTCTGATGCCAATTTAGAAATGCACTAAGGCACTTGTATTGTAAAATACCATTCTGTATCTCTATCATAATTATATAAAATGTGATTCTTAGCTATTAAGCACTGAAATACGATTTTAATTACATGGATAGTGCTGACCAAACTTTATATAATTAGATATGAAAGCTTTGAGCTTTGACTATTTATATTTATACATCGCTATTTTCGAATTAGTACAACAAATAATTGTTTTAACAATTGTTATATGCAGGATTTATAGATTTCTAAAATTTATATGTTGTACTAATATGAAAATAGCGATAAAATACTAAATTTTGATTGGCTCAATATATATGTGTTTATTTTCAGGGGGGGACATAAATCTGAGGGGGGGACGTTAACCAACTAATTAACTTTGAACGGCCTAAAAGTATTTATTTAAATAATTTCTGCAAAATATAATAAATTTTGTAATTAATCTATATTGTAATCATAGATTCATAAAAATGTTTTTTCATCACAAATCGATCAATATCAAAGTAAATCGAGAAGAGCGAAAATCTGAATATGGGAATATAGAATTTATTACGGTTTGCAAAATTTTGTAAATTTTGCGAATCAAAAAAAAAAAATAATCGATTATGAGATTATGATTAATGATTAATGATTTCTGATTTCTAATTTTTTTATATTTTTTAAACTTTAGATCAAACTTTTATAAAAGATGCAATAAACTCTAATTTTAATTTATTAATATTATTAATAAGTTAAAATTAAAGTTTATTACGTCTTTTATAAAAGTTTGATCTAAAGTTTAAAAAATATAAAAAAATTAGAAATCAGAAATCATTAATCGTTAATCATAATCTCATAATCGATTATTTTTTTTTTTTTGATTCGCAAAATTTACAAAATTTGCAAATCACAATAAGTTCATTCATGCAAACCACAATAAGTTTATTCATAACAAATGATCTGGATAGAATATTCTGGCTTAGTTATCGTTACAATTAGCCTATATTGTAATCATGAGATTTATAAAAAAATTTTTTTCATCACAAATCGATCAATATCCAAGTAAATCGAAAACAGTGATAATCTGAACATGGAAATATAGAATTTAAGTTCATTCATAACAAATGATCTAGATAGAATATTCTGGCTTGGTTATCATTACAATTAACTTATATTATAATCATGAGATTCATAAAAATTTTTTTCATCACAAATCGATCAATATCCAAGTAAATCGAAAATAGCGGTAATCTGAATATAGAATTTTTTATTTGAATAGGCCGCTTATTGCGGTTTGCAAAATTATGTGAAATTTGAAGATCATTAAAAAAAAGGTAATCACTAATTTCTGATTACTTCAACATTTTTTTTGACTTTTAGATTAGACAAATTTGCGTATTTATTATTTTGTAAAAATTTTATTATTTTTTATAGAAATAAAAGTTGCATATTCATCATTTTGTAATATATTTGCAAATATAGGTGTTGCACATTAAAATATACAATCAAAATTTTACAAATGATAATGCGCAAATTTTGTCTAATCAGAAAAGTCAAAAAAAATGTTGAAGTAATCAGAAATTAGTGATTACTTTTTTTTTTAATGATCTTAAAATTTCACATAATTTTGCAAACCGCAATAACAAAGTTTTGTTCTTGAATACTTGGGCATAACTACTATTGAACCTTTTAAGATTGATATACGCGGTGAACATATTTTGTATCATTATTGAGAAGTTATAAGGTTGAAAACGCTAAACTATCAGATTTTTACAGCAGATAAGTTAATTTTTGATAAGTTACCAATTTTGACAAAATAAGATAATTACTATCTGAAACAATAATAAAATAATTCCAATCTGAAACAATAATAAAAATCTTAAATATTTATTTAATCTTATAAGATTCACTCTACATAAAAATAAAAGTTAATTGAAAAGATATAAATTTTGAGTATACGTGCTCTGTCTGTTTGAATTTGAAGCTTTGTTTATCAGTTTGTTCGTGTATATTTGACTCAGATAAATCAATAATTTTCTTTTTGGTGTTATCTTATTTGCTTCTACAAATTGTTTTTTTGATCTCGTTATCATTATCCTGTTCTATTTCATCAAGCCAATAAATGATTCTTGAGCTGATGGTAGTAGCTGTTGATCGCTTATTTAAATTAGAATTCATACATCTCTTAGCCAACTTTATATAGCATTCTGGAGTTTCTTCACCAAATTCTGGTCATTTGTTTTCTTCGCATATTTTTAAAAAAAGTTCAATATCCAAAGGAGCATCATCAAATGCTTTTTGTCCAGTAGATATCTCAGCCATAATAACTCCAAAAGAGTATATATCAGCTGCTTGTGTGAATTCTTGATCTAGCTATGTATAATATGACACCATGAATTTTACCATCCTGTTTAATACTAGACAATGTCGAAAGTCCCAAATCTGTGATATACGCATTATGCAAAAAATCTTGCAAGATATTTCCAGAATGCAAATCTCTATGGATTAATTCCTGAGAATGAATGGATTTCAGGTCTGAAGCCACACAATGCAATAGATTTAACTTTTTTATCCAATCTATTTTCACAACTTTAGAAAAGTTTTTGCACAAAGGTCCTTCTTTACAATACTCTAAAACTATAATATAATTATTTGAAACTGTATCTCTCGATGCTCTGTAGCATTTTAAAAATGATAGATTTTCATATCCAATTTCGCTATATTTTTTCAACTATTTGATCATTTAATTATTTCAAATTAAATGACTTAAAAAATAAAAATAAATACAAAATTATTTAATTAGATACACTATCTCGTTGCAAAATTCTTGATTACATTTATTTGAATTATGAATTAATTTTAGTGCAAACTCTTTCCAACCATTTTCACTTTTATCATACCAATTTGCAAAATATATTGTTGCAAATCTGCCATTTCCAATTTCTCTTACATCTTTAAACTCATCATAAGGAATCCATGTTAGTTTATACCTTTCATCATTTAATATTTTCTTTAATTCATCATAATCTAAACCATTGTGTGACAATTGTATTTTTTTTATATTTTTTCCTATTCGATACCAATGATTAGCACATTGTATGTCCCTTCTTATTCCTATTCTTTTTCCATAGCAGTTACCAACTTCTATTATTCCACTAATATTTTTCATGTCTGTTGATTTTTTGAAATAAATGAACGCCTTACCATAATCCTTTTCAAATTCAACTCTATTAAGATAACAATTTCCAACATTGTATATTCCATTAGCATTTTCCATTTCTGCTAATTTTTGATAATGCAACAAGATCTTATACTTATTCTTTTCAATTTTAATTCCTTTTTCATAAAAATATCTTATACTATTAGGCCGCTTGAAGTTGAAACTTCGTTTAACGTTATCCCCCCCTCCATCTTCCGGGTTCCCCAAAAATTAAACAAATAGAAATGAAAATTTGATCGCCAGCATAGCAGTCGGGCTTTTTCGGTTTACGTCC